CCAAATTGGCTGAATCATCAACAGTCAGCAAATTTACGTTGTCATATGAAGAGACCTCAATCTCGACAGCTGAAACTTTTGCCTGAATCTCTTCAACCTCCTTTTGAGTCGCTTCTATAATACCTTCGAGGTTCTCCCTCTCTCGTTGTAATGTCTGGAATTTCTTCACAACTCTCTTCAGTTTATTTTTACTAGAGGAAACTTTCTTGACTTTCTTACTTACTTCAAGTTTGAATGATTCAAGACGCTCCTTAGCTTTGGAAATCAGCTCTAGCTTCTCATCTTGACTCATCTTATCAGCCAAATTGGATCGCTCTTGGTCATATGAAGCAGCAAGCTCGAAAAGAGAATCTAGTAAACACTCTAATGGAGAAAGATCTAAAATATTCGCCTTCTTCATATCCTCGAAAATCTCAGTGATTTGATCCCTATAAGATGAGAGCAGTTCTGCACGAGTTTTGGAGAGTCTCTTGCAAATATCCTCCCAAAGTCACAAGATGAATTCCTTTTTTGCGATTAAAGACAATGCTCTTTCCTTCAAAAATAGACATTGTTGCATTTGTCATTGGTGGGACGGGAGATATCCCATTTGGAGTTTGTCTTTTTAGGGCTTCGTCATGAGTAAGAGATGATGCCTTTGAAGACGACTTCACTTTAGATGTAGGCACTCCAATAGATTCATTACTCACTTGCGGCTTGTCATGTGGGGATACCACCGGATGCCCAATGGCATTAAACTGCATAAGGAAAAGGCAAATAAAATGGGTAATATTTTTTTTAGTGAAGCTATTCGTTCGACTAAAAAAGAAAGAAAAAAGGCAGGTTGATTGTATTTTTACCTCCTTGTTACAAGTCGTATGCGTTCTTGAGGGACTATCAACACTTGGTATCTCTACGATCTCTACTGGGTTAGGCCGTTTCCTTTTCCAATTTTGATCTTCATTGGTACTCTGGCTTGTATCTTGAGGAACTTGCGTGCTAAATGGAAGAACTTGAGGGTGTTTCTCTATATCTGTTGAAGTGCACACCACTTCTTTCAAAGCTGCCTTTGAGGATTTAAGCTTCCTTTTCTTATGTTGTGTAACTACTTTTGGAATTGGAGTAGGTGGTTCTTTGACTTTTGAGAGCATCTTTCCATTACCTTGATCTTCACCTCCTAAAGGGATAGTAGATTTTAGCCCAACATTGTCTACCAAAGCTTGTAAATTATTCTCGAGAAACTTTCTATGCGCTTTCTCCCACCAAGACATATAATTGGTGGAGAAAGGCTTCTCCACAGGATCTCCCGTTGGGGGAAAAGCCACACGTGACATAGACCGATACAATGTGCAAATCCTCCAAAATCTGAGTCCTTCATCTAGAGAGGCGTTACGTATATCATTCTCAAAAAAATCGGGGACGTTCTGGTAAAACCCAAATTGACGACCAAACCGATGCGGGCTATATGGCTTGATGATGAATGAGTTACCATACCTCAAAGGGAGGTAATTAAAACATAAGCTCATGAAGTAATTTGACTCCAACTCTTGAGGGGCATCGTTATCCACATAATAATAAGGACGAGAATTAGTTAACATTGTTGGTGTCCAAACTATATCCTCCCCATTGTGGATGCGTTTTCTTGCATCCTTCTCGTCAAAGTACCTCGCAGCTCCCTCTCCTGAGTATGCCACCATCAAAGGGACAGACGGACCCTTAGCAAGTGGATAATGTGTTTTGAAGTAATGTGCAAGCCAGCCGTAAACATAATGGATGGGAAAACAAACTTTGACCTGATCAAGTTGGGAAGAACACGAAATCTTATTCAAACCATGATAAATACTCGCCAAAACTGGGACCGCAATGCTAATCTTTCGTCCACTTGCCATCATGCTTGCCATCTAAAAAGTCTCGGGACGAATGGAGTTTTTTGCCTTGGGAAACACAAAGGTACATAGCCAAATTGATAAGAATGCTGCTATATATGTTTCATCTTTCGAGTTCCGATCATAAGTGAAAAGTGAGGCATAGACAGCATCGTAAATCTTTGCTATACTCAGGGTTTGTTGGCTTCCACCAAGTACATCTTTAGCCCATTCCCAATATCCTGGGATATGACGATACTCACCCTCGATTGTTGTTGTGTTTCCCCAACGTACTTCGCCTTGAATTATGCGATGCCCTAAGTTTGGAAGGGTACCAACAATGTTTACGTGGCGATGGATTGATGCTTGGAGAGACCACATCTTGGACAATGGATTAGAAGTAAACTTGTGCTTCAAGGTCCAGTTTTCTACATGAAGGGAGTTCGTCAAAGAAGGCCATGAGGTTGCATACCGGCCAGCTTGTGGGGTGTGAACCAAAAGCTTGGTTTGTTCTATGCCATCTTCAGTCTCGATTACGAGATATCTAAGTTTGGAGGAAGGTGAGGTATAGTCTCTGAAATTTGCCATCTCTTCGGGCTACC